GGGGGAGAAGATGGTCCACTGACCAAACACACAACTGGATCCCAAAACACAATCAGACAATGAACCAATACACCATCAATCCCAATACAGAATCAGGACAGAATTGCCATGAAGGAAAGACCAAGTGGCCAGTGATCCCAGACAGCAACTGGAGAGCTGAGTCAGAATCCACAGGAACAAGCAGGGTAAAGGGAAGAGGGAATGGGCGTGCTGGCAGAGCCCACCAGATGTGCTGCACTCTGCTCGCAACCAGGCCCTGCTCCTAGTGGTGAGCTCTCCGTGCCCCACCAATAAGCATCTTCCAGCCAGGCTAGGTCCTCTGTGGTGCACAGGTAAGAAGGCCCAGTCCCAGCCCAGTGATCTCTTCATGCCCTGCCAGCAAGCAGTCTGGCTTGGCTTAGGTGATCTCTCTGCCCTGCCAGAAAACAAAGTCCAACCTGGTTTAGGTTCTTTTTCCATGTCCTGCCAGCAACCAGCTTAAGTGCTCAGCCTGGTGAGCTGTCAGTGCCCCATCAGCAAGCCCGGTATGTCCCGGCTTACACTCTCATTCCACACCATTGCCTCAACCAGGCCCAGCCCCAGCCCTGAAAGCAAGAAGGGACCAGCCTTGCACAGCACTTCCTCCACCAGACAAGCCCACGATCCTGCAGGCTCATGTCTGATGCCGTGACCTTCCTACAGCTCCCCTGTGCTCTCGCTTCAGCTAAATTGACAAAAACTCCTGCACAGAGGGCATAACCTACCGAAACAGAGCACTTCTTTTATTTTTCTTCTTCTTATGTTTCCCTTTTCTTTCTATCAAATGACCGTTTTTTTCTGTCTTTTCATTTTTCTTCTCTTTCCTCCTTTTTCTTATATCTTATTTGGCCTTCTCTATTCACCCTTTATCTCTACCCTTTTTCCAGTGGTGGGATTCAAATAATTTACCAATCAGTTGGCTGTCCTAATGACCATTTTAAGTTAAAAAAAAAAAGATATACCAAGAGGTAGTGTATTATTTCATACACTTGATACTTAAATAAGAACAATAAAGAACAAAACTAAATTATGTTATAAAAAAGAATTCTAGAATATTAATGAAACAATATTAAATAATAAACTGACAAAATAACAAAACTTTTATTTAATATATATTCATATTGCTTCTTTTTTT